TTTAATATTTAAAATCATTAATTGTCATATATATATATTTTAATCACAATAGGTAATTCCGTAGGTTTTATTTAGGAAAAACATGCGAAACAATAAATATTTGATATAGGCCACCAACTATAGCCTACGAAATATTATATTTCTAGAGAGTATAATTTTTAGACTATACATTATATTACATGTTCTACAATTCTTCTAAACTGAAATAGAAGACAAAGAGCTATGCCACATAGGATTGAGGTTATTTTTAATTATTTACAAATTTAAGGTTACAATCTATATTATAATAGTTGAGTTTCAAGACTCCTCAGCGCGCCACATCAGCATTAGGTGGGTCCCACTTTAAAAAATGTAAAAAAATGTCAAACATATGTTTCGAACCCAGGTTATTAAGAAACAAACACTAACATTCATACCACTAAACTACAAGATAACTTGTACATTGATGGCCGAAACTAATATATATTTAGCCGGAAGCCTTTGCATCTATGGCCTCTTTTAAAATTCGTGCCTGAAAGTGTATTATGAGTTTCATTTTTAATTGGACTTCATCACATTATATAAAGAAAATCCTCAAGTTTACAACAGTTATAGTTTTCCCATATTGTAAATCGTCAATGTTTAAAATGAGTTAAGATTCCTTTCACCATCGTCTCATACAGGTCTGAGTTACAGAGCTGCACCGTGTGTCTGTTCGTAATCTATTTTTTCACCGGTGAACTCTTCATCTCCCCATCTTACATCGCTTGATCATAAATGTTCCTGATTTGTAGCCCCTCTATAAATCCTATATATATGATTCTCATCTTTGATGAACCCTATGTGCATCTCCACAAAACCTATATATTCCTCTTAACTTTAACCATCTTCTAGAAAATATCTCTCTCTGCTTCTCCAGTTCCTAAAACTAGCGTCACAGGCGTCCGTCGTGCAGCCTTCAAGTCTCTCTGTCATGTTAAAGTAAACATAAGCCATACCAACCAAATAAACATATAGAACCTCAAATCATCCAGTATGGGTTTTAGTAAACGAAACTAATAATAATAGAAACAAAGTCATACAACAAATTCAAACCTTCTTATTGCAGGTTCCGAGAACACCGAATCAACAGAGATTCACTGAGTAAGGAATGCGGCAGAGACAGCCTTAGCTGAGGTGAGCTAATCTCTCTTCCATGTTGCTATAGAAAAACCATAATTTCACAAAATGACACGCTAAAAACACAATCAGACCAAGAATCACAAGAGCTTGTCACACTGCTGAAGATGACGAGGAGAAACAAAAATGGCGAGTAAACAATCCAGTTTCAGATCTAAATTGAGACTCAAGACTCATCAAATTTCAAGTCCAATCATTTAAAACCCAGCTACTACATTTTCATTGTGTTCGAATATAGTCCTATACGACTAAACTTTTTAACCCACCATTCCCATTTTTAAACTACCACAAAATACTTTTGACAAATACAAAAAAAAATAACTATCTTATTCATACATGTATATAATTATACGAAGCATTAGCATTTATTAAACTACAGTTATATATTTTCAAAACATGTCATGGCACATTGAAAACAACAAACTATATTTCTTTTCGAATAACAAAATTATTTCTTCTTTGTTCCCATATTATAGTTGTATAGTAACAAATACCTATATATGGCTACATATGGTTATTAACTCACTAATAACATTAAGATTCAATTAAATCGTTAAAAAATGTAGAAATACGAACACATATAAATTCGTCAAACACTCTTATCTGTAAATAAAAACAGGTCTTTACTCACTAATAAATATTAATCTCTAAACATTCCACACAACCCCTTATCAAACACGTTTCATATTTTTCTCTTCAATCCATTAAACTATATTTCTTTGTATAATTTAATAAAATCTTAATTTTTTTTTTAAAAATGCTAATTCACTATTTAACAACATAATATACTACCAACCTACAAATTAAACAATAACAACATAATAAATCACCCATCCTTGACATAAAAGCACTAATAACACAAATATTCGAGAAAATCATTACTAAAATAATATATGAATATTTCAAAGCATATGAATTTTCACTCATTCATATATCAACTCAATTCAATCGGGTTTTCGGTTAAACCCTAAACAAAAAAATGTCCAAAAAAATGACAAAATTCCATCTATAAAACATCATAACACATCATCACTATCTCCGGCTCCGCGCTTGCGCGGAGCTATGAACCTAGTTTTTTAAATGATTCTCTTTTTATATAAGGGATGTTATCATTTTTTGGTAAAATTAATTGTGGTAGTGAGATATGTCAAAACCACTTCGAAAATAATATATAACGTTTAAGAGACAATTAATTCCAAGTCATGTCATCTTTATTGATGGACATTTCATCATGTTTTGGTAAAACTGATTGTGGTAATGAAACATGTCAAAATCACTTCGCAAATAATATATAAGGGTTAAGAGAAATTCCCTTTAGGTATATAATTATCAAAATATAAAATTGAAAAATATTTTCTAAATTTATAGATGTTATAAATAAAATAATAGTATTGGGATTAGAAAATTACAACTTTTTAAAAAAACTCGCATAAATTTTTGAAAAATAATTATTAATAAAACTATATAAGTATAAAAATAGATTCAAACACTATTTTACAAATTATAAATATTATTATGTTTCTATTTCTACTATTATATTATTTATTATTATATTAATGATGATTTATTAATTACTACAATATTTTAAAAACTTACCAAAAATTTAGTTAACATTAAATGTAAATGTCCATGTCACAATTAATTTCAAGCCATGCCATTTTTATTAATGGACATGTTATCTTTTTTGGTAAAATTGATTCTGGTAATGACACATGTCAGAATCACTTCGTTACCACTTCGCAAATAATAAATAAGGGTTAAGAGAAATTCTTTTTAGGTATATAATTATCAAAATATAAAATTTAATAATATTTTCTAAAATAAATCTTGTTCGAAAACTCGCTAAGCGCTACGTGTGCGGCACATACAGGCTTAGCGATTTATTAAAAAAACGGAGAGTACGCGGAGAGGAATTTTTTGTACTTTTATACGTATATTTATATATTTATACATACAAATTAATATTTGATATATATTTAAAATTAAAATTATTAAACAAAATTATAAAACAATTTTAGTGATATAATTTTTTTATTGTAGATATATTACATTAACATGTGAACAAAATGCATGATTTATAGTTTAACTGGTTGAATGAGCCTCTGTAATATTATACAATTGGGCCTGTGATTAAAAAAAATTAACAAGTACTTAACCCACGTTGTTTTCTTCTTCGTTGGATGATTTATAAAACCAGAAACAATCCGAGTTATTACCTATTACTCGCCACCTTTTATATTTACGCGGCTCAGGCGGACACAACGCGGACCACCGCCTAATCTTTCCGATCAGCCCTAACTCGCCGCGCTCTACCTCCGATCAACATTTTATCGGCTGCGTAATCGGTGAAACGGTCGATTTTTAGAAGATGGAAATAAATTAATAGTATTGGGATTAGAAAATTACAATTTTTTAAAACTCGCATAATATTTTGAAAAATAATTATTAATAAATTGATATAAGTATAAAAATAGATTCAAACACTATTTCAAAATTTATAAATATTATTATATATATATATTTATTGTTATATTAATGATGAGTTACTACTATATTTTAAAAACTTACAAAATAATTAATTAACATTAAATGTAAATGCCCATGTCACAATTATTTTCAAGTAAAATCTTTATTAATGTACATGTCATATTTTTGGTAAAATTAATTGTGGTAATGACACATTTCAAAATTACTTTACAAATAATATATAAGAGAATGAGAAAAAATAAAAATAAAAGAAAGAAAAGCTTAAAATGTCTTTCTGTTAAATGGTTAAAGTTGGTTTAGGTTAAGTTGAAAGGGGTTAAGATTATAACTAAATCAACCAAGTCTAATTTCATACATCAAGGACTAGATTGTAAAACTCACTGTGCGATTATGTGAGCTAATGGCTCCTCAGGTGAGTGTTGAGGTGATCTGAGGCCACGCCGAGAAGTCATTTGCATAAGTGTACCGCGAATTGAATTAGTTGTAATTTTTAGAGGAGTGAAGAAGAACGGTTAAAGAAAGTAAACCGGGGAAGTGGAAGAAGACAAGATATCAGGTGGTGCGAAAGACCAATGATGAGGAACTGATGAGAACATAACAGAAGTCAGTCAGTGTCTTAAACATCAGTCTTCTTCTTCTTCATTGGGAAACTCTCTATCTTTCTATCTTAGCTGTACTTTTTCATTTTTCTCCGTACCGTATATTCTCCCTTATTGGCTTCTCTTTTTCGATAAATTAAAATATATTTGTTTACTCATATTTCTTTTTTTTTTAACTGATTATTTCTTCTTTTTTTTGTAACTGATTATTTCCTCTCTTTTTTTTGTAACTGATTATTTCTTCCTTGACATATTTTATCTTACATGGAATTTGTATATTTATAGCAGAAAATCGCTGGATTTAAGGTATAACCGTATTAAGTCAATACAAAATCAGTTTCCTTTTTTTTGTTGGTCAAAACAAAATCAGTTTCCTATATACAATTACCTCCACGAAATGGAAACAGTATTAGCTGTGTGCACTATATGGTATATCGAATATTAGCTGTTATGTTTCCCCTTCCCTTCTTTTCTTTTGCATTTTTATCTTTCGGAATATGTATTCAATATATTTTGAATAATTTCCTTAATATCCACCAAAGGATTTTTAAAATATTTTCTCTTACAAGTGGATCGCTTCTCTATAGTTTTCACCGGGCCAGACAAACCCTCGACGAAGATGAATTACATTCTGAAATTACAAAACAGCAAAAAAAATAGTAGTACTTTGCAAAAAAATAAAACTCGGATATTCATATCACTATAAGCCGGTAGTTTCTTTAAACTCTATGTAATAAGACTAAGTAACAATTTTAATCAACTAAGGACTTGTCTGATCTCTCGAACTGTCATACCAACAAAACAAGACTTCATACACTTACCCCTCGGCGATCCTCCTCCTCCTCCTCCCACCATCCCTCCGCTCTCCACCACCGTCTCCTCCACCACCGCCGTTAGTAAAGCCTTCCTAAATCCATCTTCACTACCACCAAGCACATTGCACTTATCATCATCATAGTTATGTATAACACCATCATCCTCATCAGAGGCTTTAATAATAACACTCTTATCAACATTATCCGCCAGATCATCCAAGTCATCACCCACCTCGTGATAATGCTCATCATCATCATCATCATCATCATCATCATCATGATCATATTCATCATCATCAGATTGGTAATGAGAGGGCTCTTGTGGAAGGTCGAAAACATCATCGTCTAAAGGAACAAGGTGGAGAGTGAGACGTCCATTGGCTCTATGCGCACGAAAATACTCGTGATGGCGAACCTTCTCTTCTCTAAGAATAAGCCTCCCGTCGCTAGTCACCACACGCTTCAGAACCCACGGCATGTGCGGGAGGAGATTCTCCGTCTGAGCAAGCAAAGGTATCGGAGGAGGAAACTCGCGCGCCGCCGCAGCTCTTGCTTCTCTTTCCTCTCTCCTCCTTCCTCCGTAACGATAACGGTTCGAAGGAGGCTTGGTGGGGACCGAGGCGACGTCGTTTTCTTCTGAGAGGATGTCGAAGCAGCTCTCTGTTCCTAAGTAGTCTCCGAAGGTGGAGGAAGAAGAAGATGACGTGCGGGAAAGCATGGATGACGTCACAAAATGTGAGGTTTGATCAGAAGAAGAAGAAGCCATGGATGAGGATGATGATGATGACTCGGAGGAGGAGGAAGAAGAGGTTCTCTCCATATTTATAATTATAAATAAATAAAATACAAAACCCAGAAAAAATGATTTTTGGTGGGTTTTGTTTTTATTTTTTATTTTCTTTAATGAGATGTTAGAGTTGCATGAAGAGAATTTAAATACAAAGACAGCTAAGTGAAGGTGATGACGTCATGTAAGGGTAGTGTCTGAGATATTACTGAGAATCTGTGACACTTAATGTCTTTTTTCCTGTGGAAAGGAAAGAAAGGAAACGTATATTAGACCAGAATAGACCCAAATAAAACTTTCTAGGAACAGCTTCCTGGAATATCATTATAACCAAATTATATTATAAACTTTAGACTAAAAACTTCTACATGTTCTTAGGATTCTGCATTTCCTTTACAGCTTGTTTTTATCCAATAAATCATAGTATCTATATTTCACTAACTGAGATCCTGAAATTTCTCTTTAAACAACCATAATTTCAAAAGTGTATTCAAATAAGATTTATTTTGCATAAACAACTTGATATATATATATATATATATATATATATATATACAGCTAGTTAAAAACCTACAACTCCAAGTTTTAGATTAAAAAAAATCACCAATAATTGGTAGATACAAAGATGATGCAGAAATTAAGGTCTTTCCAACTACACAAAGAAACAAGTAGAAATAATAAAAATGTCTTCGAAGTAAGCAGATTACATTGCTAACTGTAGGAATTAGAATGAGTTAAAAAGTATATAATCAGTATAAGAAGAATCTGTTGCAAAAGGAAGGGAGAGTAAGACAGCCAAAATCTGTTGCAAAAGTTTTATAAACGTTATGATTAAACAGAAAAGTTACACGTTTTTCAGCTTCCCCTCATTAAACTTCTATATTTTGTTTTTGTTTCTCTAATAAAAATTTCTCTATCATCTTTACCAGATTCTGTCTAATCTTGAACGCAAAAAAAAAGCAACTAAGATGCACGAAATAAACAAGGTTGACTGATAAGATTTGATGATTAATTATTTGAATTATACAAAAAAAAAATCATAACGCATTGGTCAAATCAAACAAGCTACATGCACCTTTTTTTTAAAAACGAAGCCGACTTTCACGAAAACTTTCCAAGAATTTGTTAATCTGCATCAATCTCCAAACCACATTTAAATCCAAACTCAGAATAATCACGAACATTTTCATGCCGTACCTAGGAATTGACGTTTATATAAATATAAACCAATGATTGAGAATAAAATCAAAAGAAACCCTAATCAGGTAATCATATGAAACGTCGTACATCCTCAATCAAATAGAATAGTTATCAAACACGAAACAGAATGAACTTGAATATTAAAATGAAAAGAACGACAAGGAGATATTCTAATTAAATCAGTAATTAATTTACCTGTAGGCATGGATAAACAAATGAATTTTCTTCTGGTGAAGTTGAAGGATGAACGTTACGCGAACTTTTGTTCTCTTATACACGCACTAACAACGAAGCAGAAGAGAATTTAATTTATCGAAACGGAATCGATAAGATATACTCTATGGATTAACACGAATATTTAATATTATGGGATTACAGAAAGATAATCGAGAAATATTAATTAGAATTTTTAAAAAGGAAAGAAAAATGCTTAAAATTAGGCGTACGCGGAGGAATTAATTAATTAAGATTAGGATGTTTAGCCAAGTCGGGGCGTTCCTTTCTCGCCTGCTGTAAATCCCTTTCCTAATTGTGGGGTTATGGATAACTTTTAACTATCTTACGTCCATGGTAACAAAATATTTTGGAATTTATTATTCGCTATTTTCTCATCCAACGGACAATTGCTTTGTCACATAATGACATAACTTAGAAAATAAGTAAATTGCAAAGTAAATTAAGATAGTTATTTTTGGTAAAGCAACTCAATTAAAGTGGCAATTCTGTATACTTAGCTAGGAGAGTTGTCAAATCAATCATTTAAAGTTAATTATTTATATTTTATGATACCTAGCTATGGTTATAAATTTGATAGCATTTATAAAAAATAATGTCTATAGATACTAAGTTTAAGTTAAATTCTGGATTTGTTATTTATAAAATCTGTTGGAATTCATACTAAGTAGCTTAATATGTGAAATTATGAATATGCAATGAATAGTATGACTCCTATACAACACCACAATTGTAAGCTCCGAGGCGCAATTAAAATAGGGACAAAAATCCAAGAAAGAGTTAGAGGTATATCACTTTTACTGCATCATTCATGACCAGGACGATCACCTGAAACGAGATAAAGTTCTAATATCAGCATTATGTACCATTGCAATATTTCATTTTTGTTACTAAGTATATAAATTTTAGATCTGTAGAAGTCGGTGCAGAAACAAATAATTTTGAAGTAAAGTGTATAATGTATTCAATAGTTTACTTACCAGGGTCGACACACGGAGGTGCTTGCCACAAGCTGTACCGAGGTCAACCTTATCTGCAAGTGAAACGTTTTAAAGATTTTAGAGAATAAAGTCAAATGTGATGAGATGAGATGAGATGAGCTCCAAGATATTTTTCTTGTTAGATAATAGAGAAGGCTTCTTGTGAATAAAATAATGATTTTTGCTTTGATGATTCCCAAAGCAGCTTATCATTAGTCAGAAGCTGATAAATCTAGAACATAAAAACAAAAGAATTGATGGTCATCAAACTTGCCATTTTGGAACATAAGACGAGTAACATTAATCAATTGAAATGATGATACTTAAAATAGCTAAGAGAAAAATATCGAGCTTAGCTTGTGGGGCTTTCCCCTAGATCCATTAGATTCAATAAAGAAATCAAGCACAAAAATCAAGTGGTAATAACAAAGAGTTTTCGAAGTCACTACTAGTACAACTCTAGTCGAAAAGAGTGATTGAGGTCTAAATGTGGTATTAGTGGGTGACCCTAGACACCAGAAGAAAATATAGACCAAATGTCTATAATTTCTAAAAGTTTATAAAAGAAACAAGATAAAAGGCATATCATGGCCTGAAAGGGCCTGAAAGGAGACAATTTCTAATGCTTAAAAAGAATGTGGTACTTACTAGAATAAATACTAGCAATATTACTGGCCATTTGAAAATGTTTTATCAATCGATATACACAAATAATAATATACCGACTTCAAAATTTTCATCGTCCTCGAGCTTTGAGGTCCATTTTCCTTCTGCACGATGCATATAATGTTCGACGAGTTTACTTCCAATAGAGCATGTGACATTATTGAAAATCAGGCCTAAAACCAATCACTATATTTACTGTGGGAGATGAACTACGTTGCAGGCTCTTGTAAGATTATCGATCACCTTAAATCAGATCCTTAACTTTCTAGGTTAACGAAGGACCAGACCACTACAAGAGCGAAATAGCTTTTACCTTAAATTAGCTAGGCTCCATTCTGTAGTGTTTTGTGGGCTCTTTATCGACCCATCATTGTTGCTCCGGCCCTTTCTTCCCTTGAAGGGTGTAATTTCTTCTTTTTGTTTACTCACATGTGTCAAGTGCACTATCGAATGTGAATTACGGTGGTGTGATATGGAGACAATTCTGTTATAAACCACTATACTCCTATATAAACTAATATTTTAGTTGGTTATATGATCTCGATCATATTGACTTTTCAAACATGAATTTTTTTTTACAACCTAATATAGATTACAGATGTTTCTTCCAACCAAATACTATTCCAAATTTTGACTTACCAAATCATTAACAAAAGAAAATAACTGTACAAAACCTTATTGTCTATAGTTGTTAACCAAAGATTTAATATTTCTATATTAGTCTTGTCCGATTCTTTTTTTTTTTGGTCAACGAAAATTGCATCAAGAGATTAAAAGGGCCGGAGCAACAATGATGGGTCGATAAAGAATGAGTTATTGCAGATTAACTCGACAAGAAATCTTGAACATAATTTTAGATAAAGTCATATGTTATTATCTCATCATGGCTCTGCCAATTTTAATAGTATACCGGAGCCTTTCACCCAACCAACATACTGGATCTACAAACTATAAACTTCAAGCAGAGAAACATGAAAAGGTCTACAAACACGTGGTGAGAATGACAAAATCTTGGGGAACACGTGGGAGTGGGAAAAGAATCATCAGTCTTATATAGGGTGTACACGTGAACAATATGGAATTTGACTTTGATTTATATAGGATGTACTTTCTCCTCGGTCAAGAATCTAAAAGATGTGTACTTCCTCCACAGTCCAGAATCTTATATTTGGCAACTACTTCGTGTCTTTATAATTTGAAAGATCCACAAAATAAACTATATCTATACAATTGTTTATGTCATGCTAACAGGCGACAGCTGCTATTATTTTATAATTATGTTGTAAGGTCCTTTGTAATAAAATGGGTTTGTTTTTATTTTTGTATGGATAATTAATTAATACGCGCCTGAACGTTTTTTCTTTATTTATTGAGGCTTGGTTAAAAATAAAATAAAATGATAGGATAAACATAGGAAAATATGCTTTGAACGAGAACAAAAATATGTCGAAATTTTAGGATAATTTTTTACTACATTTAGGGATGAAATCTGGTAAACTGGTTCCAAAAAAAATCTGCTAAATTGGTATACTATTAAGAATATTTGTTTCTTTTCACCATCGTCTCAAATCAAACAAGAAAAAAAATATTTGGGGGTTGAAGCATAAAAATAAAATTGTGTACGAAAAATAAATACTAGTAATACATATATGGACATATGTGTCTGACATTATTGGCTACTGAGCTGGGGAACTCTTGTTTCATAGTCGTCGACCACTTCAAGCTTAGCTTGTTGAGGTGCTTCCGTCGTCGTCACTGCCAAGATTTCACTTTGCTGACCTGGCATCATTTCCTCTATACTGGGTCCCACACTTCCATGCTGCTATTGGCCAAAATGTTTATGTTTCTAATATTCATTTTCCACTTAGTGTAAACAATTACTTAATGTAAATAAATAAGAGACCTGGTTCATAGAAGGGAACAAGGCCGATGATGAATACGCCTGGGCCCACTCAGAGAACATGTCACCATTGTGATTCGTTACATGACATTCACTCATGTTGTTTTGGTTCGAACTTGAGCTACTACCTTGCAACAATGGGTCGTACATAGCCGATGATAATTCTCTGTCAAATTTTTATTAATTTAACAAAAATATACATCATTTCTTTGGAGAAAAAGTACTAAAAAATATATGTTTTTCTGAATGACCAATTCGAAAGAAAATCAATATTTGAGGAAGCTTAGAAAACTATTAATTAATACCTGAGTTGAGTAGAATGAGCTGATGCATCAAATAAATTGACTTGATTGTGCCCATTTTCAGGCAACCAACCTTCGAGGACGCCGTTTGCGAAAGGACCTGCAATGCCTTGTTGCATAGTGGGTGCTTCGTATGAAGATAAATGGCTGCTTACGAGATGCTCTCGTCGTTGGACAACATGTGTTAACGTGTCGAGAAGTTGCTTCTCACAAACTTCATATTCCTCCATGCTCGTGAATCTTACTGGATCCGGTTCGTATCTCCTGCTCATATTAGGTTATACAAAGGTATCTATTATTCAATTAACATATTTCTAAATTTATCGCATATACGATGTTTTTTTTTTTTTAAAAAGACCTTAGTTGTTCCTCTGCCATTTGGAGTTGTTGTTGTAATCTACACACTTCTTGCTCAAGTTCCTACATTTTCCAATTAATCGGTAAAACTAATTAGAGAAAAATATATTAAAAATATGTTCTAGTTAATCGAGGGAGATCATGAAGATTAATCACCTCGACATCGGACTTGATAGCTGCAGGGCTTTATTCAAATAGGTATGTGGAAGAAAAAAATCAGTTTTGTAAAGAAGAATGTGCATGTGAACAATAAAAAAATATCAAATGGACTATAAAGATAAATAAGAAGGAAGTATCGGACTTAGTGAGTTGAAGAGCGATGTCATTTTCAGTCTTGAGCTGTTGCAAAATCCTTAGTAGATACTGTCAAGTATCATAACATTATCATTATTATTAGAGAAAATACAAAATCTATCACATTTTGGAGGAAAACAAAAGTAATTCAATAGGATTAGTGAAACCTCTTTGCTTTGGATGTCCCTGCAAAAAAAGAGATCAAAATATGAAATAATTAGTTTTTTCTTATTAATTATAAGACTCAAATGATTAGGTAATGCAACAAACAACAAAAAATATGATACGTACGGACGTCTATCCTGGTCGGGAAAGACTAGAGCACTGAAAAAAGAAAAACATAAGTCAAAATTTACGAACAATCTTTAAAACTGGTGAAAGGAAGCTAATTTTAGCTTACTTCTCTCTTTCTTGGTTAGAAAGATTAATAAACCTTGTGAAAACATCTTCGATCCTGCAGATTTAATTTAGAGTTTATAACCATATGGTCACATATAAGAAAAGATACACGTATCATAATATGTTTAAATGATATTAATACCTAGTTTTTCCTGAAAAGAGGCTAAGACGATCTGAAGGAGAGAACATGATAAGAGCAATGTCGATGTCACAAAGAATCGACAATTCATAAGCTTTCTTAATCAAACCATTTCTACGTTTTGAGAAGGTAACTTGTCGGTTCGTTGTGTTCTCAATTCTTTTGATCTCCAGTTTCACCCGACCCATGTTGACAAATTCAAAGAAGAGGTTTCTCTTGAGATAGATGTAATTTATTGCAATGTTGATCAAGTGATCTCCAAAAGAAAAAAGAAAAAGAGACTTGTTGAAAGAGGATAGTGTTAATATAGGGGAAGGTGGAAGAAGGTGCATATATTTAGGCATTTTAGGAGGAACTAAAAACAGGAATGGTTGACTTAGTTCCTCTCTCTATTGTCCTGTTTTGTTGTAAATCCTTAAGCCTTTCACTTTTTGTTTGGAGATATCTAAGGCTTACAAGAAGGGCCTACATTAAAACTTATAGGGCTTTAAATTATTAAGAGTTTGAAGACCAAATGATTTATACATTTATATTTTTTTTATTATAGGCATCAGGTTAGGTCTTTGTTGTATGTATCTAAAGAGGTTCCGTTTCTGATCTTCACATCTACTTTGTCCTCCAAGTTGTAATATTTTGTTATAAATACAAAAACGAGTACAAATGATTCAGTCTGGTGTCAAAGATAAAAGTCTCTTATTGTAATTGCAATGAATATTACATATTACACCATCATCAAATATTACATTCCAATGGCAAAAAGTAGTCACATATTATAATCCATACATCACAAAAGACTAATATACAAATAAATAACCATATAAGACATAAGAGGCGCTTATGACTCTCACTTTAATAGTAACTTTAAATATGTTAATAGCTATCCTCATTGAACGAGTCATCATCGGACTCCATATCCAAGTTCATCAGTAACATCATCATATCAGTTGAAGTCAGTTCACCATCATCATCATCCGAATCTTCAAATCCAAAAGGACCATACTCTTCTTCCGACATTATGTTGCCGATCATATTAAAAAATGTATTAATCTCTGAGAAGTTCGATCCAGAGGAGGGCCTTGGACGCCTTGGAGGTGGTCTGTGGTATTTCCATGCATATGACCCTGGCTTCACAGTGTGCTGGAAGGAACACAACAACATTCAATAAAAGACTAATCAAATTTCCTAAAAGACTTATAGTGATTCAAACAGATACCACAAAATGTTTGTAAATGAAAACAAAACTGATTCAATATATCATCACATAATACCAATAAAAAATAACAGCAATCATGATATAGCTTTTAGAGATAGTACCTTGTAGAAGCAACTTGTCCCAAACGGACAGTTCCCATCTCCAAAATTGAAATGCTTACAATCAATTGACCTAAAAATAAATAAAATTATCACATTCACATAACACAAGAATTGACTTATATAAAAATAAAATAAAGCATGTAATGTGATGTTACCTGAGCTTGTCCCTGTAGTTGTCAATAATTTCTTTTTTCTCATCCGTATCTGAGAACCAGATGACACTAGGAACAACAAAATACGATAGCTTGCGGCATATAGGGCAAGCTCTTAGTGTACTATTAACATCCATACCAATGGAAGGAGAACTGCTACGCCAATTCCTGATACACCCTATGCAGAAAGCATGGTCACACTCAGTGAGTAACCCAAACTTCCGTTCAGCTGGAGTTGGCTTAGAGAGCACACGTTCCAAACAGACGCAACACTCAACTTCCTGACTAAGTTTCATCGCTTCAAGGTGTTTGTGTTTCTTCTCGCATGCTTTCTTGTGCTCCTCTCTTTCATGGAGTCTGAAAGGATGTAAGCAGCGTTTCCCACAAGTTGAGCAGAGGTCTCCGTGGATGTGAGGGCATTGGTCTCCACGTGGGCAGTCACCAGCTGCGGCGTATGAGCAGATTGGTTGGTCTTCAGTGTTGTTGTTGTTGACCTCCTCGTTTAAGGGTTCCAAAGTCCACGCTGGTGATGATGATGATAGGTAGGTGGAAGATGAAGGAGATGGATGAGAGGGAGAAGGTTTGACATGTTCGTATCTGCATCTGCTTCCATAAGAGCAGTTGCCTCTCTGGTAGTAAGTGCAAATCTGTGGATACAAAACAGAGTTCAAGTTAATTAATTAATTAATTAATGGTTAGTTTATTATCATATATATGTATATTAGAGAGAAGAAGAGATTATACATTATTTGAAGGATCTTTCCAGTCATGTGAGAACTCACAGTTGTCTCCTTTTAAGCAAACACCGTGAGCAAAGAACTTACAAAGGATCCTAACAGATAACCAAACAAACAAATTGTAACTCAAGTATTAGCAATAGCATAAGGCATTAAAAAAGCATAAAGAGAAGACACACATCGTCGTGGGCAAAAGTAAGGACCTTTTCGACATTTAGGGCAATAGAGAGAGTCTGAAATCTCCTTAGGAAGGTACAAGATGAAAGCTTTTAATCGGAGGAATTGAACTTAGGCTCTGGGATATGAACTTCCGACACGGGAGAAGAGAAAGGCGGCGTTTCGTAAAAGGTGCGTTTCTCTGATTCTTCTTCTTCTGATTTCAAAATTCCAAATTCTGAAATTAGGATTTTAGGACAAAAAGGAACTGAAGACGAATCCAGACCGTACACTCTGACCTGGACGCCGCGGTCTGAATATCGTTAAACGTTATTAATTATATATAAAACGTGCAAGGCCCAATGAGCCCATTTCTGATTGTCATTAAACCCCCTAGTATTAACCTTATGTAAATGTAAAAGGCCTAATGGGTCCAACTTATTTAATATCATCAGCTACTTTGTAGAAAAAAAAGGGAACTAAAAGCCTACTTATTTAAGTTAATTTATTCAAAGCTGTTTTGCTTTAGAATTCTAAAAACTGTTTTCAGTCTCAATGTTGTGTAGGGAATTAGTAATAGATCTACTTGATATTTATACTTTTTGATAAAATTGATAAAATTTGATAAAACCCTATTTTCAAAAATAAATATTAATAATGTTTAGATTAGTGTTGTATCGACAAACTCTAAACTCCAAAATAATGGTATTCTCAAAAACATTCTAATCTAAAATTTATAAAAAAATACATTTTTTATGAACTTGATGTAAATATTTTTAGGATAGTTAATATAGTGGACGTGTTTTGAAAAAAAAAAATGATAGAGAAAAAGATTATGGTAATAATTGTTTGTTTGGTTTTTAGCTTTTGGATTTAGTGTTTTTATTGTTTTGGTTTTGCAGTATATTTTAATTTTTGAAAAGAAAGAAAATTGAGTTTAGATTTTGGTTTCTATTTTTGGTTTTTGATTTTAAATTTATAAATGAAAATGATTTTAATAGTAAAATATCTATTTTGGAAATAATAAAATATAAAAATTTATTACCAAAACACAAGTAAGCTTATTTAAAAATATAAAAGATTGGCTTATTTATTGCATATGTTTTAATTTATTTTAGTGTTGAATGCAAGCCCAATATTATCTAAACTATAGATTGCATTGTTTTATTTAATTATTTTATTTTGGTTTAATTACATAAAAGCCTATTTCAATTAAACAAAAAATTAATTAAATCTGTCTCAATATGACTTAAATATAATTCCCTTTTTATTTTTATGATGACTGATTTTTAATTAACCATATATTACGAAGTTTTATAACTTAAAAGGATATAAAGTATATAAATGAAAAACATAACAGATCCAAAACTATGAAAAGTGTGTTTTTTTATCTTAATTGTTTCTCGTTGCAAACCCTTCTCAAAAATAAAAAAGTTCCTTGTCCATGGTATATGAACGAATCCACTCTCCCTCATACAGACATACCGTGAATATACCTCTAAAATCAATAAAAGTTATTTTTAGTGCAATGTGAGTCTGTGACAGGTACTCAGTTTTGCACTTGGTGAAAGAACGCGTGTTAATTACACAAGTACTCGGTTGTTTATCTCTTTTGTTAATCTTAATTAACATTTTAAATTTATCTTTGTGAAGTTTTAATAACGCTGAATGTCATCAGTTACAAAGCTAAATTTGTTACTTCATGTTCTGGTAATGACATTTCCCGGTTAAAACTTTACAAACTGATATTAGCTGTGCAGTTCATTGAATCTCTATAGATAAATTCAATAAGCCATTCTCATGATCAAATCTTCGTAATCTATTAGTTTAGTTGTTGTCAAGCGTGGGTTGTACCTTAAATAAAAAAAATGTATAATGCATACCATCCACCTTCTATAGATTACTAATATCTTATATATTAAAACAGAAGTCACCATTTCAATTTATGTGTGATTTTTTAGTTTGTACCATCTTTATAAATTTTACATATGTTAATTATGATATTTTTTTCATATCTTATTTTTATTGAAAATGTAAATAAATATTTGGAAACAGATTCTAACAAAATCTTTTTGCAATCTTATAAAATCTTTTAGAAATATATTTCGAAAATCAGTTATTTCAAATTTTAATTATCATCAAATAGAAATATATCATAAAACTAAATTAAAATGATATATTAATATATTTATTTTCATAAATAGAAATATATATGTTAAAATAATATATTATGTTGTCAAAAAGGGGTAACATACTATGTATTACATGTATACAAATTAATANAATCTTTTAGAAATATATTTCGAAAATCAGTTATTTCAAATTTTAATTATCATCAAATAGAAATATATCATAAAACTAAATTAAAATGATATATTAATATATTTATTTTCATAAATAGAAATATATATGTTAAAATAATATATTATGTTGTCAAAAAGGGGTAACATACTATGTATTACATGTATACAAATTAATATATTTTAAATTTATATATATACAACAATATATTATCTAAAATTAATATACATAAACAAATAACCATTTGGTTGACAAAACAAAATAAAAATTATTAAATATTTAAATATGTGATTAATATATTAAAAATATATATACCCATAATAATGTAAACAAATATATATAAATGAAATTAAAACCCGCTCGGTTGAGCGGGTCAAAATCTAGTTGAATTTTAAACTGGTAGGGTTGTTATCATTTGTTAATAATAATTTGTACTAAAGGAACTACAATAAATATTTTTCTTTTAATTTTCTGATAGCTAAGGGAATCATAATTAAAATAGTATCATGTAGTTTTTTTTGAACTGATGTAGTTATTTTCTAGTAAAGCATATTCCATTGTTTAGAGTATTAAACCAATTACAATACTTGAATTCAACAAACCCTTTCATTTAATATCCTGCTTAGAATATTATTCCCGATAGAAAGAATCTTCTATTTTTCATATGTGGAATCATTCGTTTTAAATTATCTCTCAAAACTAAACAAATGGTATACGTCATTCGAGTCGTACCGCCGTCTGATTAGGTATTTTAACAATGAAACTTTAAAGTGATGTAATGATCTAAATATTTCTGGACATGTTATTAGATAAAAGTACAGATACTATTTTTCAATTCAGTTTATAATGATTATAAGTTTCCTCATTAAAATACATTCACATTCCATTGGAAATGTGATGTCCTCTTGATTATATTATCTATGTGAACGTATTTTCTAACTAAATTAAAGAGTCCGACTCTTCCTAATTCCAAAGAGTTCAATTGCGCATCATAGTACAGAGAAATATGTGTAGAAAACTTGGGAAGCTTTTTTGTAGTACGATTGTTTTGGTTTGTGTTAATCATGGAATATAGTGGACTTATGTTAGGATGTGATTAACATGAAATTGAACCAATTGGCTAGCTTGCAATAACTGACTTAAAAAAAATATTACAAGTACTAAATAATTGAATTGAAGGATAGTTGTCAATGAATCCATTAAAGAAGATTCTATTATTACGGTTTACAAAAAAAAAGATTCTATTATTACAAATCGTGGAATGCCAAAGAGTTCGATTTTGCATCATCGTACCTAGAATAATGATCAGAAAACTTTGGAAGCTTTTTGTGTAGTTTTTTTTTTTTGCTGTGTGTTAATCATGGAATACAGTGGACTTATGTTAGGATATGATTAGTCGAGGTGTTATTCAATTATTATTTTAATAAAGTTTAAATCTGAACACAATCTACCAAAGGATTCTAAATTCCATAATTTATTGTTGTTGGATATGGTATTTACAAAATTTATTTAAAATCAAGTGTTATTCAATGAAGGATTCAAATTCAGTATTCATAATTTAGTGTTATTGAACTTTAAAATATTTTATTTTTTTCTGTATTTTAGATTTATTTCAAATTATATGTCATGGAGTTTTATGAGTAAATAATTAACCAAACTCCAGGGATTGTGAAATTTAAACTATCTTAATTTTCTAAAATTGAATTGATTGTTAAACATTAATAACTGGTTTTAAATCATTGAATAACAATCCCTATACCGATGGATAGCTTGCAATGACTAGCTTCGAAAAAATAAAACAAGTGCTAAATGACTGAATTAAGGGATAGTTGTGAATGAATCCATTAGACAATTCTGTTATTACAAATCTTCTTGAATTTTTTGGGTATGAATGCAAAGATTATGACAAAAAAAGGGATTATGGTAAGCAAATGTTTAAGCAGCGTGGAGCGTATAGATAAAGGAATGCTTATAGACCGTCGGATGCAATCCTTTGACAAAATCAAACCAACAAAGTCTTTTTAAAAAGAGCAAATATCGTTTTTTTGTTATTTAATTTTACCAATAAAATATCATTAAAAGTCGGCAAATAGGTCCCACAACGATCTTTCCGACAATCCTATGTCTTTGGCCTGTCGTGTTCTTTCCTATTTAAACTCTTATTCACACTCTATACTCTACATTAGATACAAAGTGTGATAAGATACACAGAGAGAGAGAAAGAGAGAGAGAGAGAGAGAGAGAGAGAGAGAGAGAGAGAGAGAGAGAGTTCAAACACAAACTCCTTTTTCTCGATCAGAAGGTTCTAAGCAACGATGGACGTTTTTGATGGGCTCCCTGATCCTATCGTCGTCGAAATCTTAGACAAAGTCGGCGACGTCAAAACATTGCTTCGTTGCAGTTCCCTCTCTAAGCGATTCAACTCGCTCGTCCCTCATTCCGACTCACTCCTCCTCCGTCTCGACCATGTCGTTACCACCGAGTCACGACCCGATTCTCCCGTCAACAACTTTTTAAAATCTTTATGCAAACCCTTTCACGGTTTGTTCTCTCTGTTTTCTAAACCGGCTAAACCAACCCCAATCACTAATATTTCTCCGGTTATCCCTTCCAAGATTCTCTCCCGGTTCGACCGGATCAAGAATCTTGACGTGGAGCTTCCCAGCGGCGACGCAAAGCCGGAGAAAGGCGCCGGAATCAAGTGGAAGGCAGAGTTTGGTAAAACTCTCAAAACATGCGTTGTTGTAGCGTTTCGCTCCGCCTCCACCGTGCCTTCTTCTTCCGACGGTGAGTCAGACGCCGAGTTCGTGACTGGTCTGAAGACGCGCGTGGAGTGGACGATAAACGCGTTGATGGCCGCGTCGTCTCGTCACCACCTGATGAGCAAAGTCGTGAAGGAGCACAAGGAGATGGAGAGCTTAGTGATGCGTGAGAGAGATGGTGAAGGTACGGTGGTGATGAAATCTGAGGGGCTGAGAGAGTTTCGAGAGGCGGCGCGTGATCAAGAAGTCGAGAAGCGCGTGGAGAAAAAACAGAGGAGTGTGGTTCCGAGCGTGAGGATGAGCATGAGACACGCGCCGTCGCTTAAGCTAAAGAGTGGTATATGTTTAGAATCGGCAACGCTCGTGATCGTAAGGCCGAGCGAGGAATATTCCGACGTCGGAGATGATGAGCTAGCGACGGAGGCTTTCGTTGGGAGTTGTATGTACGGTGAAGCGGTCGTCGCTTTGTTAAAGCGTAACAAGAACACTTTAGATATGAATTCATTTTGATGGGGCCTTGTAATAACAGGGCTTGTGTGGGGACTTGTAAGAGATGTTTTTTTTTTTCGTGCACGAGTGCAGTGTGCCATGCTAATATATTATACTGTACAAAGTTGGTTTCAATGTTCTTGACCTATATTAGCATATACCATTTTGGTCAATATGACGAATCATATGCGGATTTTGATCCTCTCGTTACCAAAAAGATACACAATAATATGGCATGAACTGTGCCGATAACGTCAGAAAATTGTTAATATATATGAAGCTGTTGTAGACATGTAACTGTTACTAAGAAACTATTTACATACCTCCCGTCCGTAGATGATCAACCATGTACTGATGTACAGTTAAGATTCACACACGCACACTTAAGCATATACTATATAAACCCCTGTGCATTCGGTTCATAGAATTAAAGAGAAATTGAGTATTTAAACGCTATCAACTAAGAATATCCGTTCAACTAACTGAGTATTTAATACATATATTCATTTTTCTAGAATATTTTCAGGTTATCTTATATATCTACATCTAGGGATGTTAAAATGGGCTGGGCAAACCCGTTTACATCCGAGCCCGTTTAATGAATATCCATTTAGAGCCCGTTTAGAATCTATTTCTGTGAAGACCGTTTACGTCCGAGCCCGTATGAAACCCGTTTTAAACCCATTTACATAACAAAATGAACACATCCTTTTTTGTATCAAAAAGTTTCTCTTCGACCAAACCTGTCAAATAAAATAGAAATCCATGATCAAAACATTGAAAATTACATTGTTTTGTTTCAACTACAAATTCAAAGTTTACAAATCAAATTCAGCATTCTCATCATTCATTTACATGCATTAAAGTGCTATTGTTTCTGTCTCTGTCAATTACTCATCTGCATTCTCATCATTCATTTACATGCATTCATGTTAAAAATCAATAAGTGCTATTGTTTGTTGAGTTTCAAAAGCCATCTCTGCACAAAAAAAAACAGAAACATAACTAGATTCAAAGTCTATCAGGCGGGTATAAAAACAAAACTTGTCTCCACTAACTATACAAGAATACAATTTAAATTAAAAAGATGCATCTTCAAACGAGTTACACGATTACATTGATACAAAATATATCAACAAAAAAATTAATTAATATATCAAAGAAATTCTAAAAAATCTGAATACATTTTCTGCTATAGTTATGTTTTAATGAAATATATTAGGAAAATTCTATTATATTAATATAAGTTGGATTTTTATTCAATAAAATGTTTATTTGTTTTTTTGGTATATTTAGTTTTTATTTGTTGTTAACAAGTATATTATAACATATGGGTGCAATTTTATTTCCTAGTTAGAACTTGTGTTTTTATAAGATTTTGACATATAGTTTTTTGTCTTCTCAACATTCAATTAAATATGATGAAATTATTTAATAAATTAGTGTTATTAAGTAAATATGCATGTGTTCTATATAATCTGTATATGTTGTGCCTGTATTTTTTGGATCTGGTCACCACTACAAGATCGTGAACAACAAAAGGTTGTCGACTATGTTCTTATAAACTGTGTTGTTATAAAATTCTGAATTTTGTTTTCAGTCTCAATTTTGTGGAACTCGTTTGTGATAGATCAATAAATTTTAGTACTTTTTAGATTCTACTAATCTTGCATTATTATGATAATAGCTTTTTTTTTTGTTTACCATACTTCTGATCCATACATTAGATCTTATTAAACTTTATGACAAGTAATGACACAAAACTATGAATATGTATTCTTCTATAACAAGACTATATTTCCGTTGTTTGAATATCTACAACAACATTTTCCATACATTGGGGAAAAAGCCACGCAACTCCAGTAAGGTGGATTATCCCCAGGGAGCGTGCATATATTCTTGCAATCGGCAGCAATATAACAAATACCTCTGTACACACATGTGTTTGCTGGAAAATTGATTGAGGAACATTATAAAGAACTAGGATTTAACTTTTTATGTAGCATATATGAATAATAATGGAAGAAAATATTACCAGTTGATTGAGAGAAAATGAGAAAAATAATTAAGAGCAGAGAAACAACTTGAAACTTTTGTGCTGACATTATTATCTCTGTAGCTCTACCTTCGTGAATGTGATTTTTGGTTTTGCTTCAAGCTTCTTAGATCAAATGATCAAAGGTCATATTCTTTTATATAATGGATTAGATCGGTACGAATTCATCCCTATTGTAATCTGATTTCTTTTAAAAGGAAAGAAATATACATACTTCAAAAATCAAATTGGAAAAAGTCTCAACATATCTCTTAAAATCTTGCATTAATTATAGAATATATACTCTGCAACAAGTATCCAATCTAAATTAAACAAACACAAGATCATGATCGGTGTGACAATGCGTAATTTATTTAAATCGATTAATTTTTTGATAAATTAATTTAATATGTTTTAATTAATTGATTATTGTTTAGTCTTAATCAATATTTTAGTTGCATAATATTTATTTTATATGGTTTGATAACATTATTATAATTTTTTATTCTATCTTACTAATAATTTTGTTTATATTATAATCAGTTTATAATTAGTGTCAGCCATTTAGCTTCAGATAATATATATTGTGAACATTTTCATAGCTATTTTTGTTATTATAATTAGTGCTAACCAGTATGTTTTTATGAAAAAATCAAAATTATTTTATCATCACTTAATATTTTTACACAATAAAATATCAAATATCATGTTTTATGTGTTCTTACATATATATTATAATACATATATTCATTTTTTCAAGAATATTTTTCTGGTTGTCTTATATATCTACATCCACCAAAGAAATTCTCAAAAATCCGAATACATTTTCCGATTTAGTTATATTTTAATGAAATAAATTAGGAAAAAATTATATATTAATATAAGCTGGGGTTTTGTTCAATAAAAGTGTTTATTTTTTTTTTGGTAAATTTAGTTTTTATTTGTTGTTAACAAGTATATTATAACATATAGGTGCAATTTTATTTCCTAGTTAGAACTTGTATTTTTATATGATTTTGACATATACTTTTTTTTGTCTTTTCAACAGTCAATTAAATATGATTAAATTATTATATAAATCTGTGTTATTAAGTAAATATGCATGTGTTCTGTATAATCTGTATATGTTGTGCCTGTATTTTTTGGATCTGGTCACCACGAGAAGAAAATATCTTAGGACGACTTGTAGATTGACAAGGCCGCAGGTTTCAAAAGAGAATTTAAAACGTTTAGCTCTGTAGAACCCACAAACTTACTATTTAGGGAATGAATTTTATTTATTTTTATTTTGTTAGAATATAGAAAGAAGAATCTGAAAGATTCTTAGATATTACAAAACCGTGAACAACAAATGGCTGTCGACTATGTTCTAAGCATGGATTAAAGAATAAATCAAATGCAAGTAAAGATTGGTTCCAACACATTTATCCTCTCGGTTCATTTTTTCTCTTTTTTCTCTTTTTTTTTTTTAAAAAATGTGCTCCGGCAAGCCCAGTGATTTAAGCGCATCAAGAGAAAGTTCTCCTCGTCGTCAATCCCGCTTCTAAATGGTCCCTCTTTATTTGTTTTTCAAAATTAATGTTGTAGGGTTATTGTTTTGATTTGGATGTACCAAAGTCGAAGGTGTTGTTGACATAGTCTAAAAAGAATAAAAAACAAAAACGTTAAAAATTAGATAAATAAAAGCACAACAAAAGCAAAAAATAGTATTTTAAAAAGAGAAAATTTCATAAAAATACACAAATTAATTTACATTTGCTAATAAAATACATAAACTATTTTGGATCTTTGTTTAATATATGAACTAATTTTACAACCTATTAAATACACAAATTTTTGAAATTCGAAGATTTTACACATCGTTTTTCTCACGGTTAAAGAGTTCGAGAGATATAGATCAACTAACGAAGAACTGGTGAAGAATCTGATTTGATAGAAAACCGATGAGAAGTCTCTGCCTTGTAATCTGTTTCTTGGCTGTGTTTACCTCGGCACGTGTGAGTCCGAGAAGCAGTTTGGATTCTCTGGATCTCAGAATCACTACTATTCTGTTTGTGATAGCTGAAGATATGGGCTTACCGCGTGTATATGCAGAGGGATGAGTAGGAAATGATCCTTGTCATTGGTATGGGGTTAAGTGTACAGATGGTAGCATCACGACAATTGACTTTACGAACACCAATCTTACAGGTTGTATATCTCACAGATTCGCAGAGCTGACTTCTCTGAATATGATTGATCTTTCTCATAACCCACTGATCGGCACCATACCAATGGAGCTGCTTACCAAATAGAAGAATCTTAGGATTCTGGACGTTTCCTATAATGACCTGCACGGTAGAGTTCCAGAGTTTAGGAAAGGGGTTGTATATGCTGAAGGTAACCCGCATATTGAGAAGGATGTTATCTCTCGAAAGGTTTTCACTTGGATTGGTATTGGGATAGGATTTCTGCTCGCTAGAGGAATAGGAATTTTTATTTACTGTCTTGTGATTAGTGATGAGTAAAGAAGACCGAGTCTTTTGCTGATTTATTTGAGTATTTTTTGTTGTTTAAGTTATTTGAATAAGTCTTCCACTATTATAGGAAGTGGTTTAGTTGTTATCTAGTTTGTAGGAAGTAGTTGTGCACTTTGCTATTTAAGCAACGCTTACGTTGTCTTTGATGAATAAGAGAAAACAAATTTCCAGTTTACAAAGTCTTATAATTAGAAATAGGAGTTCGTCTGATATGCAGACAGAACCGATTGGACTACAACCTCAGCCATCTAGTGCGGTTAGTGAAATAGTGGTAGCTTCTGACGACAATGCCATTCCCTTCCACATTCTCATAGAAGCTACTGCTGGCTTCAGTGATGGTAATGTCATCGGTAGAGGTGGATTTTTTGTCGTGTATAGGGGCAAGCTGTTCGATGGAACTGACATCGCAGTCAAGAGAATGGAAAAAACTGACGCTTTGATTGGTATCGATGCCTTCAAATGTGAAGTCAGTATTTTGACCAAGGTTCATCATCGCAACCTAGTGGTTCTGCTTGGTTATTGTGTTTGATGTTTTGACAAGTAATGAACTTTGTAGCTCATCCACCGACAAGTCTTTGATGTTTTTTGATTCTTCTATCACACAAACCACATAGGTGAACTTCTCAACAAGAGTTCTTAAGATCTTCTCGACTACCTTCTCATCTGACATCTCCTCTACAAGGTTCCGCATATCATTAGACACCACCATGACTCTAGAGAAGTAGTCTGCGATTGAGTCGCTCTCCTTCATCTCCAACACTTCAAAGTTTCTTCTCAATCTATGAAGCTGTGCACTCTTCACCTGTGTGTTGCCTTGATACTTTGCCTTCAGAGACTCCCATATGTCCCTTGCTATGTCCTTCTTCACGATCGTCTTCAGAACGTTTTTGTCAATGGAGGCAAAGAGATAGTTCTTCACCTTGAGATCTTTAAGCTTCTGATCTGCAAGCTCAGTTCTCTGAGCTTCTGTCAATTTTGAGATCAAGTCATTGAAGATGTTTTTGAGGTTGACAAGAGTTATTGTGGTAAATGTCACACGCATATTTCAATTTTTTTTCTAAGAACCTCAAAAGAAGTTTTCTCAATGGACTATGCCAAATTTAATTACATTAGCAAAGGTTTTAAACTTCACAAATTACAAAATTAACTATTAAACTAATCATTAGAACCTTGCATGAGTTCCAACCATTGGACATGCTCTAAAGCAACAAGCTTGACTTATTGATTTGGTTTTCAGGTGGAACCCTGATGCAATAATAGTCTTCTTGATTTGTTTGTAGTTTCTTGGTTGGTCACAGAGACAAACAAGGAGAGCTCAGTTACCGTCTTACGCCTATGTTGTGGTTAGTATACTGTCTCTTCTAAGCCTAAGATCAGGGAAAGACAAGTTGCAGTTAATAAGTCAAAAATTAAAAACATTAATCTGGTCATAATATTAAGATTCCATAATACGGGGAGTAATTTAAATATTAAATATTTATGAAGCCCCTAATACAAATTATTATGTTTCTCTTCACTGCTGAATATATGAATTAAAAAAAAAAAGTTTCGCGTTAAGACACAAACAAGCGACGACTTGGTCGGAGAGAAAAGACTTTTCTTTTTTGTCGATTTATTACCCTCTGATTGAACACAAAATTAGGGTTTCATTTCCCCCCTTTTCGATTCGCTTCATGATGATTCTTCCCTCAAGCTCTTGATTCTTCTTCGTGAATTTTCCAGATTTTTTTTAGAATAACTCTTCAAAAAAAAAAATTCGATTTAAAATGGGAAAATTTTGCTGCTTCACTTCACCTTCTGAGGTAATTTTCGTAAAAATTGTTTCTTTCATAAAAGAACCTTTCCTCTGCTATGATTTGATGTTAGCTTGTTTCTATCGAGTCTCTCTGCTACGTCGTTTCGTAAGTAAAAAGGTTTTGTCTTTTTTGACAAGGTTGTGGGAGGACAATCATCATCATCATCATCACGATCTGGTAAAGGAAGAAATGAAGAAGGTTTGATCAAATATGGTTTCAGTCTAGTGAAAGGCAAAGCTAACCATCCTATGGAGGATTATCATGTAGCTAACTTCATCAACATCCAAGACCATGAGTTAGGTCTATTCGCTATCTACGATGGTCACATGGGTGATACTGTTCCTGCTTACTTGCAAAAACATCTCTTCTCCAATATCCTCAAGGAGGTAATAAAAAAAAAAAAAGAGATTATTGTTTACTTCAGTTTTTTTTTTTATCTCTTCATGGGCTTTTAAGAGACGGTTTTTAAAATGTTTCAGGGAGAGTTTTGGGTTGATCCTAGAAGGTCTATATTAAAAGCTTATGAGAAAACAGACCAGGCTATTTTATCTAATAGTTCTGACTTGGGACGTGGCGGGTCTACAGCTGTTACAGCGATATTGATTAATGGGAGGAAGTTGTGGGTAGCTAATGTTGGTGATTCAAGAGCGGTTCTGTCTCAAGGAGGTAGGGTAGTGCAGATGAGTACAGATCATGAGCCTCGTGCTGAACGGTCTAGTATTGAGGATAGAGGTGGATTTGTATCTAATCTACCAGGTAAAAAAATAGAGAAGTCGTCTGTTTTTGAAGTGTTATTGATTTAGTAAGTATGTAATGAAAGTTGTGAGTGATTGATAATATAGGTGATGTTCCTAGAGTGAATGGTCAATTAGCTGTGTCTCGTGCCTTTGGAGATAAGGGGCTTAAGACGCATTTGAGTTCAGAGCCTGATATTAGAGATGTTACTGTTGATAGCCAGACGGATGTTCTTGTCCTGGCTAGTGATGGCATTTGGAAGGTAAATGAAATGGTATCTGTTTTATATTTGAAAGAGACTAATTTTGATTTTTGTGATTTTGGGGAATGAAGGTGATGACAAATGAGGAGGCGATGGAGATAGCTAAAAGGGTGAAAGATCCACAGAAGGCGGCTAAGGAGTTAACAGCTGAAGCGTTGAGAAGAGAGAGTAAAGATGACATATCTTGTGTCGTGGTCCGGTTCAGATGACAAACTCTGGACCGGTCTAAAGTTTCGATTTCTGACAGCTTCTTTGCTATAGTTTTTATGTAAATTGTGTGTGTTTAAAGAGGAGTTGGTGGGTGATGGGGAATTGTGTTGATATTATTGGTTGATTTGTTATTTTTAATGATTGGATGGACATAAATATTAGGCTTAATTTTGAATATTATATATGTGGAAGTACTTTGTGGATTAGGTTTGTATTTGTTAAACATGTGAGATTTTACATTTCTAAACAAAGTTTATCCTTTTATCATTGTTGTTGTAGGTAACTGTTACTATCCTTCAAAGAAGGTTAGGTTTTGAAGATTTGTTGTCACGGCAACATATTTATATATATGGAGGAGAAAGTAAAGTAGACCGTGGACATTTGCAACTTGCAAGGACAGAACTAAGTGATAACAGATATATATACCAAACATCATAAGAAAGAGATGAAGATGAGGAGTGTTTATGTTGACATCAACACTAATGCAGATACAAAGTTATACAAAGGAAAAAAAAAAGATTTCCTCCTCCTTCCTCTGGGAGGTCTAAAGTCCACAAGGTGAGATTGTCTCTAAGTTAGCTGTATGATAAGAGTTCTGTCCTTGTATGATTCCTCGTTGAGACTATCAAGTTCAGCTATTGCATCATCGAATGCTGGCTTAAGCCAACTGGCATGCGCTGTATAAACACATAGTGTCAAACTGTTACAAAGTGACACAACTGATTCTGTATGTTAAAATTTCCAAACCTTTCAGGAGAGTTTAAGATCTCATAGTAGAAAACAGAAAAGTTCAATGCTAGGCCAAGTCTAACATGATGTGTGGGTGCTAAACCAGTCTCTGCAGCAGCTTCAGCAGCCTACAGTACCAAAAAAACAAACATATTGTTGTTCAGCTTTTAAAGAGGGAAAGGTATAGACAATCCCAAGCACCTTATATGCCTCAAGAGACTGATCTGCAGCTTCCTTACAATCCCAAGTACCTTTATATGCCTCAACAGACTGATCTGCAGCTTCACGTTCAGCACCAGAATTTTTTGGACTGGTACACACGATCACGCATGAACCGATCCACACTTGCAAAGACCACACACAATCCCAATTTGTGTTACAACTTCCAATGAATTGGCTAATGTTTCTTGTGGTTTTCGTTCATTGAAAATATATGAAACTCATTATTAAGACTTCTAGAATTTGTAATTAAACCGATTTTACCAAATTACAAATCCCATTGCGACGTAGGATGGTAGTTATTGTGGGCTATAAAGAGTCCCATATCGTTGGGTTATTGTAATGAGTAATGAGTTTTCAAATGATGTCGACTTGGTCTTGGCATCTTACTCATCTGGACTTGCATCTGCTTGGATGTTTCTCTTACCATAAAAATGACAAAAGAAAATCCTTATAAATCATTCGTTTCAACTTTGAAGACGCTGAAGAGGTAGGTTTACGCCCCACGTAATGTAAAATAAGCTTATTGCCAAAATAAAGAGATCTTATTTATTTTTTTTTTATTTTTTTTTTGCCAAAAAAAAGAAAAAAAAAAGAGATTTTAATTTGGGACTAACTGGGGAAAAAAAAAATTGGGGTGGGAGAAACTCAACTCTCGACCTCAAGATCACTCTAGCTATGAGACCGACACGCTGGCCAACTGCGCCACCACCCCGCTGTTGTTAGTGTATCGACATTTATTAATTTTATTAGCTATTCCTAACTTCTTTGTGTTACAACGTCTATGCTGAACTTTTCCAGTGAATTGGCTAAAAATTTCGTGTGGTCTTTGTTCATTGAAAATATAGGTTGTGGGCGGCCCGCAATCTATGTAACGTGAAATTTAAGTTACTTATTAGTCAATTTTGAATTACATCCACATATGCATTTCGAAAAATATTTATGCATAAAATTTTTAAGTTATAACAATTTTGAAAATCTATAAATATACATGGTCAAATTTTGCATACCATAAATTAATATTTTAAATTTCACTATTATTTTGCAGATAAAATAATTTATTCTTTTTGACATAATATTTTTTTTTATTCTAGATAATTAAAAACGAAAAATATTTCAAATGTAGCGTAACCTTAAGAATTTTCAGTTTTAAAAATGTTTTTTCAAGCTCCATTAAAATAATTTACTCTATAAATAAAACTCATAAACAAAAATAAAATTATAGATGTTCTTAGTTCTTACAAAAGCTATTACAGCCAATGACAAAGGCCATATTATTATTTTTTTGGTGTAACCAGGGCCGTATTATTTTTCTAGAAATATCACATAAGTATAAAGTTTAGTTCACAAAGAACTGTAGAAGAAACTAAACCGAATCTTGCTCGATCTAGCCACGCCTTAAGAGAACCTTGTCAACAACCATCTGAAAATTCAACTCCGACGAACCACGCTTAACCTCAATCGCTTCCTCCGCCAAGCGCCGCCACTCTTCCGCCTTCTCCCTCATTTTCTTTCCTTTCTCTCCATCCATCAGCTCTCTAACCACCGCGTCAACCTCCTCCCTCCTCACATCTCCACCGATCTCCATCCCCACTTCCCACTCGTCACGACAAAACTTACAGTTCGTTTGTTGTTCCGCAAAGAACGGCCAACACACCATCGGCACTCCTCCGCATAGACTCTCCAAAGTCGAGTTCCATCCACTATGCGTTAAAAACCCTCCTATAGCCGGATGAGACAGAACTTTCTCTTGAGGACACCAAGTCACTATCATCCTCCTATTCTCTGTCTCGGTCAAAAACTCTGTCGGAACAACAGCGAGTTCACCATCAACTAAGTCCGGTCTAATCACCCACAAGAAATCTTTCCCTGTTGCTGCTAAACCCCATGCAAACTCCACGAGCTGTTCAGCGCTCATCACGGTTATGCTACCGAAGTTAACGTAAACAACGCTGTTACGAGCCTTTGTATCGAGCCAGTCTACACACTTTGTATCTTCTTTCCAAAGATTTGACCCCATGCGTCCGATATCGCTGTCTTTATCGATATCCCGGTTCACTAGTAGATGGAGCGGTCCAATAGAGTACACTGGAGGTGTAATGGATTGTATAGCTTGTATTGTGTCATGCTCTAGATCATCGAATGTGTTGAGAATGATAGCAGAAGCACGTTTGACTCGGTCAACCTCATGGAGAAAAAAATTTAGCATTATGTCGTCACGATTTGTCGCTCGGATGAAGCTTGGGATGTCTTTTAGTTTTAGGTTTTTCATCGTTGGAATCCAATCTATTTCTGTGTCTAGGTAACTTTCATCTACAAAAATCCATCACCATTTTATCAATAATCATACTCCCTCAGTTTAAATATTTTGTTATAAAATAAGTGTTATTTTATAATTTTAATACAAAATTAGACATATTTTTAAACATCCATTTTTGAGTTTGTCATAAAAATAGTTCTCAGAAAATAAAAAGATTAAAATAGCTATTTTATTTTGAAATTTGTAATATTCATTTTTTATTTCTTAAAATTTGAAATCTTATCTCTAAAACTCCACCACTTAACTATAAACCCTAAGATTTAGATTAGTCAATCCTATGGTATAAATGCATATTTAATTTTTACTAAAACTGTTTTTGGTCATTTTCTTTTTTAAAATAAACTAAAAATATCTATTTAAGAGAATTTTTCTACAAAATTTATTAACTATATTTTCCATTTTATTTTTCTGTTGATTAAAATATGATTATTTATATAATTAATGATATTTTTTATAAAAATGTACAAAACTAAATATATTTTTAACCTATGTGCACAAAACTAAAATAATAATTAAAACTAAAAAAAAAGTATTTATACGCATATAAAACGACAATTAAACTAAAGAAAAGAATAATTATTTATAAATATGTAACATCATATAAATATGCAAAGTTTATTACTAATTAAATGATTAGTTTTCTAACTATTTACTTTACCTAAATTTGATACTATAACACTTGATTAAATCATTACGTACCTTTTAGTGGACATAAACCCTTTTCAACTAAACGGTCGAAGTATAGATAAGCCAAGAAGCCACAAGCACTTGTGGTCCAGAAAAGAACATTAGGGACACCTAGCTCCTCCGCAGCGTCAAGAGTGAAACTCATTAAACCGTCCGAGACAATACAGCTCACGGGAGGAACATCATCTCGAGCGTTGATCCGCTGAAGAAGTTCCTTGAACGGAGCTAGACAGTTCTTCATGGTGGAATCGCAAAGAGAAGGGACATCCTGCATCTTATCCCCATCGGTTTCCGGTAGACCGTCAGGGATAGACTCGAACCGGAACGAGGGCACACCGTCTAGCTCGTTGGCACCACGTGACCGGAGGAGACGGTTGTGGTTGTAAACGTTGTTTACGAAGGTGACGTGGAAGCCTTTGGCGTGGAGGAGTTTAGCCACTTTCAGCATCGGGTTGATGTGGCCTTGACCAGGGAAAGCCACGCAAACTACGTGTGGTTTTTGTTCGTTAGAAACTGCATGAGATGCCATTTCTTTTTCTTAGTGTACCAAGGAAAGATGGAAAATGGATATGTGTGTGAGTGATCTGCGAATGATTGTTGCTAGACTTTATAGGAATCCACCATGAGAAGGCGAGACCATTAGATTCTTCCACGTGGAAATCGTCGTAATTTCGCGATATTTATGAAATTTATATGCTGCCACAAAATATATTATATGGGTAGTCTACAAGTTGAGTGTAATCAGTATAAGTAAAAAGAAAATTTAGACTAGTGACCCCAAGGTAATAACTCGTGAAAAGAATGGTTATCTAACTCCCAACTTCGAGGAATAAATTTAGGTCCGCATGTATTAATGGTTTTTTTGCTTAAATTGCGAAAATATTTAAGCATATAGTATTAGTAAAAGTCCTAAAACAAATGTCGGCTTAATCCCTCATTAGTCACCAAACAATCGGTAAGGCACTAGGTCTGATTCTAGCGCCTGGTTAGCGTTTATCAACGATATTTAATAACGTGTATAGCTAACGACTTAAATAGTTACACACTATTGATCAGTTTGTTATTTAAGAAAACAAAATTCCCAAGATATTACTGTGTGTTTATATAATGTTTACATCCCTCTATTTCAATATAATACATATTCTAGATTAAGTTGTTAAAAAAAAAATACATATTCTAGATTTTTCCACACACATTAACAATACATCTAATAAATATATAATTTTTGTGATTATCTTTTTCTTATAAAAATCAATAAGTGCAATCAAGTTTTTATAAGAATTTACAATTAATCATTATTATTTGATAAAATATTCATTGAAAATACAAAGAATGACTCTTTTTGAAACATTTTTTTTCTTCCTAGGATATGTAACTTAATAAAACAGAGGGGATACAAATTAATATTTTTGAAGTATAATTTTCCCACATCTTAAAATATAAATCTTAATTGACAATTTTAAAAAATGTAAAGTATATAACATTGAGATAATCAACTAGTATAGTAGTATTATATGCATATATAACACGCCATCTCAAATATAGTTTTCAGTGGCAATATACAGCTTCAAATTTATACAGGCAGGATTCATTTCTATAAATTCCGATACAACTATTTTTGGACCGACCAATCATCAATCAAATCAATCAATTATTATGCTAATAGTAATAGAAGATCGGAATCTCGTTGTATCCAGATCATCGTATTTATGCTACTGACCAAGCATCATTATTATTTTTTGAACAACCCTGAACAAGCATTATATTACTCGAAGAACAAGAAGCGAAAAACGAAAAGTAAAAAAAATCGAAAGTTGAATCGTGTTGGAAATCTGCATAGGTCTTGGCAACAAACTTTTTGATTTTCAATTAATACGATACCTGTCATCATAATGTGGCAACTATGTCCACCAAGGCAGTACATACCTATATCTATTTTCTCTCTTTGTTTCAGGGTAAGTTTTCAAAAGTACATGTATCTTCTTTTTTGTTTGTGGCAAATGATTTATGCTTAATTTAGATGTTTCTGGTTTTCGTCTTATATGAAATACGATAAGCATCTTTAGGATAAAACTAGTTCATGCGTTGATTAATAAGGAGATAATATTGTTCTTGATTTAGTAAAAAAAACAAGATATTGTGGTGTCTTGTGTCAAACGAAGCAATGACAAAGTTGATGAGTGAAGACGAAAGAGTAACCACTTGCCTTTAATTCCATTTATACTCTTGCCCCTACGGGTATCTTTGATTGCATCCATATGATGATAACGAAATTGTTAGTTTTTTTTTTTACGAATTTGTTAGTTAATGGACCACTTTGCCTTCACTTCATTTAGAGCTTTGTTTACGGATAGCTTCACATATAAAGATAGCTTACGCCTTATATGGATGTATTCTTTTTTTTTTGGGGTCAGCATTAAGGTTTTATCTTTGCATGGTGTCATCCGGAAAACTGAGTTTAATAAAGAAAACTTCATCAAAGAATAAGAAAAGTTTCCAGAAAAGACAAAGACCAAGCCTATGTACATTATGTGACTGAAAGAAAAAACTTGGATATAATCTCTAAGAGCATGCCCATCAGTGATTCTGGCTGGGCACAAAATCCTAGGTTAGTTTTTAATTATTATTTTTTCGTTTGACTTTTTCAAAAAAAAAAATAATTCGGCGAATCACGGCCCGCCACGTGGCGAATCCGTGACGATCCAGATTCACCGTGGCGAGCTCACGCGATCCGGATTCACCACTTTTCCTTTTGAAAAACGATTAAAAACCCCTAATGGGCATGCTCTAACCAAGTTGATGGATGGCTTTGTATTTTAAAATCCAAGTTGCCCTTTTCTTGACTCGAGCGTCCACTGTTATCCCAGTTATGAAGGAAAAAGTGTTTAATATGATAAATTGCTAGAAGATCGAGAAGGCTTAGTGTGTCTAATATAACTGAAGCCGACTGACCCTAGACGTCCAATTTCGAGAACTCCTAGTCTTTGTCAATCGAATGAGAGAGAGCATGAAATAGTGAATTCAATTTACGTTTTAGCCTACCAGGCTACCAGCTCTTAACATGGGCTTTTTTGTAAGTTTTGTAATGGTCCAATAGGACAATGTTTTTTTTACCAATTCGGCCATGTTTTCAAATACGTCAATTATAGGTTCATCAAATTTGTATATTATTTTATATTAAATTTTTAATTTATAGTGTTTTTTTCTGTTGTTGCTAAAAACAACATATATACTTTTCATCCATTTTCAAGTATGCATAACATATTTTATATACGTAAAGAAAATCAAGGACGGTGTCAAAAAAAAAAAAAAAAATCATGGACATCTTCATTCGTCGTGGTCTTTGATCTTATGAGATATGAGGATGCACAGGCGCATATGTTTTTTTTATAAATAGCAAGTTTCAGTTTCTTGTCTATACTGTTATGTTACAAATGAGGACCTTTTTTTTTTAAACATCTTGGGCATACTTGTTGATAACACATAAATGCATTAGAACACGAATTGGGTGAGATACCCGGCCCTTATAGAATAAATATAAATAACAATCAAAGTTGCGGTAGGCGAAATAGAGTGGTGGGGTTAGGTGAGGTGAAGCGAGAGATTGGCTTACTCATTCTCATCTGATCTCTAATCATGAAGAAAAAAATTATCAATCAATTTTATATTCTAGGATTTATTTGTGAAATAACAAAAGAAAAAAAAATTAAATTTTTAGAAAGAGGATAAAGAACGATGGTGTTAAAAAAAAAAAGGATAAAGAACGATAGAAAGAGAAAAAAAAATGAAATTTTGGTTAGATAGTGAATTAGATTTTTGTTGTGTTATTGAACCTAATTTTCCTTTATTTAATATCTCATTTGACTTACTGTTTCAATTTTCAGGTCAGCATGTGTACAAATACACACAGCTTTATTTTAAAATATAATATGACTATATGAGTCCACTTTTTATTTTAAAATATAATATAACTATATGAGTCCACTTTTTATTAAAAAAAATAAAAATAAATCTTGACCATCTTAATAAAAGTATATGTTAGATTTCCTCCCATTTTCTCACCGAACACAACCGTCAAACACATGCGGCGAATCCATTATTTCAAAGTAAACCTGAACCGAAAACAAATCTCCGGTTAATAATACGACACGTAAACCGATTGTCGTCTGTAATGAATTGACGAATTCCCCCTTACCTACCGCAAAGACCAAAAAAAAAAGCTTCACCAAACACAACCACTGCGTTATAAAACCCTTAACTTCTCCTTCAAACACTTCTCAGGTTTCGCGTTGCTCACAAACTTGTCGGAATCTCAACACCAAAACAAAAAGAAAAATTCTTTACTAAAAAAAAAAAAAAAGGAAAGATGGCTCTCATGAATGCAAGCATGAACCTATCATCAATCAAAACGTCTATATACAACCACCGTCAAACAAGCTTCTCCTCCGCCGTACCAAGAACCACATCCCTCCGTATCTCCGCCGTGCAAACCAACCCAAAACCACCATCTCCGTCACCGTCCAAGTCCGTTGGAGTTAATGTAGGTGAATCCAAATGGGCACCGGAGAGCTGGAAGAAGAAGAAAGCTCTTCAGCAGCCAGACTATCCCGACATAGCTGAGCTAGAAGCCGTGCTCGACACGATCGAATCTTTCCCTCCGATCGTGTTCGCCGGAGAAGCTAGGCTTCTCGAAGAGCGGTTAGGTCAAGCAGCGATGGGTGAAGCGTTTTTGTTACAAGGAGGAGACTGTGCAGAGAGTTTCAAAGAGTTCAACGCTAACAACATTCGTGACACGTTTAGGATACTTCTTCAGATGGGTGTTGTGTTGATGTTCGGTGGTCAAGTCCCTGTTGTTAAGGTTGGAAGAATGGCGGGTCAGTTTGCGAAGCCGAGGTCTGATTCGTTTGAGGAGAGGAACGGAGTGAAGTTGCCGAGTTATAGAGGAGATAACATCAATGGAGATGCGTTTGATTCGAAATCTAGGATTCCTGATCCACAGAGGATGATCAGAGCTTATTGTCAATCTGCTGCTACTTTGAATCTTTTGAGAGCTTTTGCTACTGGTGGTTATGCTGCTATGCAGAGAGTTACTCAATGGAATCTTGATTTCACTGAGAAAAGTGAGCAAGGAGACAGGTAAACAAAAACAGCAACAAAAAATACTATTTTAATTATTCTTTATTTTGGTGATTTTTATTTTTAAAAAGATGAGTCATTGGTTGAGAGATAACTAGGACTTTATAATTTTATTTAGTTTAAATTTAACTAAGAGATTTACTTAGAATATGCCAATGTGAATCCCCCAACGTATTGATTGTATTTGTCATTTTGTATGTGTGATAAAAATGGTTGTAATGGTTTGGTAGGTACCGTGAACTAGCTAACCGTGTTGATGAAGCGCTTGGTTTCATGCACGCGGCTGGACTCACGCTAGATCATCCCATCATGCAAACAACCGAGTTCTGGACGTCTCATGAGTGTTTACTTTTGCCATATGAACAATCACTAACAAGGCTGGACTCAACCTCT